GGGGCAACATCATCTAATGCCACACGTAAAGAAGTAACATTATGAACTAAGGCATCAATTTGTGAGGGGCTAGAAATTAAAATATTGCCCTCTGCAACATTCCTCTGAGATGCTGAGGACAGTAAAGATGGCACGGTTGATTTAAAAGATGCAACAGCGTTGTCAGATAGAGACCGACTATAGTGAAATTTACTTTCATGTCTCGAGAACTCAGTTATAAAAAACTCTAAAGTTATCAGAAAGTGGTCAGAGAGGACTGGATTATGTGGAAAGATCGTTATTTCCTCACACTCTATGCCATAAGTCAGCACAAGGTCTAATGTATGATGGCAGGAGTGGGTGGAGCTATGTATTCTTTGGGTAAAACCAATTGAGTCTAAGATATTACTAAAAGCTACATTGAGGCTATCATTTTCAATGTCCACATGAATATTAAAATCCCCCACCACAATGACCTTATCAGTATTTAGCACCAAATCAGATAAAAAATCAGAGATCTGATCCAAAAACTCAGAGTAAGGGCCTGGTGGACGATATAAAACTACAAACGAGTGGTTTTACAGTTTTGCTATCTGGATTAGGAAAACTAAGAATAAGATGTTCGAACGAACTGTAGCTATTAATTGGTAAGGGACTGATTAATAAGTCAGAATGAAAAATGGTTGCCACTCCTCCTCCTCGCCCTGTACTTCGAGCAATATGATGATTTAAATAATTAGAAGTAGTTGACTCATTTAAGCTAACATAGTCCTCTTGCTGCAGCCAGGATTCTGTGAGAGAGAGCAAAGAGATCTGATTATCTCAAATCAAGTCATTAACTAACAAAGTCTTAGAAAAATTAGACCTAATGTTCAATAACCCACATTTAATTTTTCTAATTTTCTGCTCAGTTGAATTTGTTCTAATATTTATGAGATTTCCATGATTTGCTTTATTAAGCCTGATATTTAATCTGTGTGATTTTGGCCGTGGGCAGGACACTGTCTCTATGGGGTAGTGGGTGGGTAACAGTACAGAAGCTGCAGAAGAGTGTGTTAAACTACGACTCTGCTTCCTGGTCTGGACCCTGGGTTGTCATGGAGGACTAATAAAACTGGCCATATTCCTAGAAAGAAGAGCTGCTCCATCCAAAGAGGGATGGATGCCGTCTCTCCGCATCAGACCAGGTTTTCCCCAAAACGTTTCCCAATTATCAATGTAGCCCACGTTGTTTTCAGGACACCACCTAGACAACCAGCAGTTGAAGGACAGCATGCGGCTAAACATGTTGTCACTGGTCCGATCAGGCGGGGGGGCAAGAGAAAATTACGGAGTCCGACATTGTTTTGGCAAACTTACACACCGAAGCAACATTAATTTTAGTGACCTCCGATTGGCGTAACCGGGTGTCGTTACCGCCAGCGTGAATAACAATCTTACTGTATTTACGCTTATCCTTAGCCAGCAGTTTCAGATAAGATTTAATGTCGCCCGCTCTGGCCTCAGGTAAACATTTAACTATGGTTGCTGGAGTCTCTAATGCCACGTTTCTGACTATGGAGCTGCCAATGATCAGAGTCGGCATATCAGTGGGTGCGTCATAGAGCGGGGAAAATCTGCTGGAAACATGGACGGGTTGGTGGTGGCCCACGGGCTGGGTTCTATGCTTCCTGCGTACCGTCACCCAGCCGGCCTGAGGTCCCAGCTGCTTGGGTTCTGCTGGAGGATTGCTACGGGGTGGTTCTGAGCTAGTTAGCCCCGCACTAGCTAAGTAGCTACGGCTGTTTACGGGCTTTTCAACAGCGCGGAGCCGGGCCTCCAATTCCGACACCCTTGCCTCCAAAGCTACAAAAATGCTACATTTATTACACGTAACATTATCACTAAAGGGGGCAGAGGAGTAACTAAACATCTGACACAGAGAGCAAGAGATAGGAGACGGAGAAGCAGAGACAGAAGTAGCCAAAGCCGTGCCATCTTCGTATCTGGAGAAACTGAGTTCTGAGTGGGAGTGAATTTGGTCTGCTATAAACTATAGTTGATAGTTTATATAACCCCATCAGACACAATCTGTCAAGTCTACGTACCCTTATCGGAGACTCTCTTTTGGATCCGAGATGTCGGGGAGTCCGTGGACCCCACGGTACCGAAGTCCGTTGAGAAACAGCAGTATGATCAGGTCAGACCAGAGTCATCTCCAGGTCATGACAAACAGGTGGACTTGTTTGCGTCTATGGAAGGACTCTTAGGGAGTAGGAGCTGTGTCAGCTTTGTTCTGAATGAACCGTTCACGGTATCAGCTGTAGCGTACAACAGGTTTGACAGCTTGTCAAAGATGCGATGGGAGCAGAGGCTTCCTCTGATGGCCAGTCAGAGTTGGGCTCAACTGAATCACTCAGGAAGTGATGCTGTTTTAATAATGGCCATATTTTGGTTTAATGACAAATCAGGACTTGCCCTGTAAAGGGGTTTTGTCAACAAACTCAGATACACACCTCCCTCAGATATGAAGATGCTGATTTTGCGGATAAGAAAAATCTATGTGCAGTGACATTAACTTTAACTTGCGTCATGGAGATATGGTGAGTGTGTCTTGTCCAGTCAGTACGCTGATTAAATATATGGGTCATATATTTCATTTCATCCTTATTAATCTTTCAATGTAATAATAATAATAATATTCATTTCAACTTCAGTAATTTAAGTACAGATTAATCAAAACATTTCATTTAACCATATTGTCCATTTCATTATATGATTTAATTAAAGGGACTCTAAGGAAGTTTGAAGATTTTATGCCTGCGATTGCCACTCAGGCCTAACGCGTAACTGCAGCTTCAAAAGTAAGCTCGTGCATGAGGTACACATGCTGTACGTGCACACACCTTAATGAAAGTAACAGCTGAGACAGTCCCGTGTGTGTGTGTGTGTGTGTGTGGCCCGGAGGACAGAGGACAGGAGAACACGCAACTAATTAATTAAATAATTTGGGTCTGTACCTTTCTCTTCAGCACAGCCAACAAAGGTTTATGATGGGTCAGTCCTCCTGCATGCTCAGATCATTCCCTTCCCTTGCTTGAAAAATAGTTCCAAAATGAAAGATGAACCAAACATCTTTTTCATCCGTGAATTCAATGCCGTTCGGTGAGTCTCAAATAAAAATTTGGGCCTCTCTCTCTGCTTCTAAAGCTACGGATAGCAAATGCTACGGGCTATGCCTGAACATGAACCCGCATGAACATGTTTGATTTTGGCCCTCTTTTATGTTGAATCCATTCCACAGTTTTCATTGGTACACTCAATCCATCCACTCAATCCAAATGTGTTTCACACATTTGTCCTTTACCGGACTGTTTCATCTATCTTGTAATTTCCATTTTGTACTTTGTAATTTGTATTTTGTAATTTGAATTTCTTTTATTGTTGATTTATTCAATATATTTACTTAACTGTACCATGTTCAGCGCTTTGGGCTTCCTGACAGGGTTGCGGAAGGCGCTTTATAAATAATGCTTTGATTGATTGATTGATTGATGAAGCAGCTTGTTCGACCCGAACATCTCTTTTTCTGTGATTTTACAGAAAAAAAGGCAATCACAGTAAAAATGCCAGGGCTCATTCTACAGGACCAGGGCATTGCAGTAGAATGTATGAAGAAGAAATGTATTATTCCTATACATGTTTTGACTGTCAAACTTCCTTAGAGTCCACTTAACTCAAATTCTTCATTTCATTATATGATTTAATTATGCAAGTTCATCCTTCTTGTTCTGTGAAGCAAAGCAGTTTTAGGTAAGAGGGAGCTTGCGAGGAACTTGGGCAAACAACAGTATCTTTCTTGGAGATTAAAGGCACCAGTTAAGACTTATGTCTCCATATGACCAGATACTGAAGAGGTCAGACTGTAGGTGGAAAACTGACCATTTCTGGAGGCTACATATTACATTCGGCTAGCCTGACTTCCGCCGTCCTCTTCGTGTGACTCGCAGAATCACAAGATCCCTCAAGACTCCAAAGGTCACGGCTTATTTATGCAATTCGCCATTAAACCAAAAATAAGGAAATGTTATCGCTGCAGTACTTTATTTTGAAAATTACTGGGGATTTTACACCAAAACCATGTGTGATTTCCTGTCTAGCCCTATGTTAACTTCAGAAATTGACGTGTTCCAGAAGAAGCTCATTGCAAAACTAGAACCCGATCCCATCTTTCACGGTGCGGTGCGACGCGGCAAGGCGTGCCACTTCTGGGACACATTTGAAAATTCCTGCAGCGTGGCTGGTATGAAACACTCCATAGACTTTAATGGATTCTCTTTGAAGCAGTGACGTTCCGCTGCTGTTCCGCCCGCGGATGCTTTCAGTGTGAAACCGGGGTAAAAAGCTAATTGTGTCCAAATTAAATAAAGTCCACAGCTGCGCAGGGACTGCCCCCATACCCCCTTTATACCGCCATTGCATAATCTTTTGTAGAAAGAACACGATTATGCCACATTACCGCCATGGTATGAGCACTTTTTCAATGACCTAAAGCTCCAAAATGCCAGCTCGGCATTGCGGCAAATTGTCGAAATTGTTTTCTAAAGGAGGCTTTTAAATGAGAGAGCACTGTGCATTGATTAGTGATGAGGAGGATGTACCCGGCATGTTGTTATGTGATGCAGAGGGAGTCTGACCAAGTGTCCATTTAGAACATATCGGGAGGGAGAACATGTTGACGAAACACAAATAGCCATTTAAATTATGCCTTGTTCTCTCTCTTACATCTTTGATCCAAATGATCACAACAGGCTTCTACATTTGCATAAAGGAGGTATAATTTCCTGCTCCTGTAGTTTAAACGCATTAGAAACATGACAAATGTCATGCTACAGTACATTTATAATTTAAAATTAAATTTTGGTTAATCAATAGTTAACTAATAAACTCATGCGATTAATAATGGATAAAAAAGTTTTGTCGATTGATGGTCCTAATTGTTACATTAATCAATGCTTTCTTTTGTCTTTTATCCTGTCCAGAACGTCCACAGCATCATGTTTGGAAAAAAGAGGAGGTTCTGACTTACGACAAGCTCTCTAACCCAAAGACCACCTCTAGTTTGGACCAGGAGGAACAGCAGGAACTCTGTATCCATCAGCATGAAGGGCAGTTCTTTCTGAAGCAGGAGAATGTTACCGTCATGGGGACTTCACCTTGTGAAGAAACAGACAGGAGCCGACCCTTTTGTCAGACTTCTACTGAAGCTGAGAACCAAAATCAGGATGGATGCAGGAATGAAACCTCAGAGCCAAGCACCAATGAAGAACTGACACAAAGTAAAAGACGTCAACAAACCAACGATCACAGAGGCAGTGTAGACAGTCAGAAACTAAAAAGGCCCAAGAGGGCTCACAGATATGAAAGACAATTTTCATATCAACTCTATGGAAATTCTTTCAGTAACAAGTCTTTTATAACTGTTCAAATGAGAACTCACACAGATGAGAAACAGTTTACATGTAAAACTTGTGGCAAATACTTTTACAAGACTAGTGATTTGACTAAACATATAAGAACCCACACAGGTGAGAAACCATTTACATGTGAGTCTTGTGATAAATGTTTTACAGACAATAGTAACTTGACTACTCACATGAGGACTCACACAGGCGAGAAACCATATGCCTGTAAAACTTGTGGGAAATGTTTCTCTCAGCCTAATGATTTGACTAAACATATAAGAACTCACACAGGTGATAAACCATTTATATGTGAGTCTTGTGGTAAATGCTTTACTAATAGTAGTATATTGAGTAGTCACATGAGAATTCACACAGGCGAGAAACCATATGCATGTCAAACTTGTGGTAAATGTTTCTCTCAGACTAGTGCTTTGACTAAACATATAAGAACTCACACAGGTGAGAAACCATTTGCCTGTGAGTCTTGTGATAAATGTTTTACAGACAATAGTAACTTGACTAAACACATGAGAACCCACACAGGTGAGAAACCATTTATATGCGAGGCATGTGGTAAATGTTTTACTAACAGTAGTAACTTGACAAATCATATCAGAATTCACACAGGTGAGAAACCATATGCATGTAAAACTTGTGGTAAATGTTTCTCTCAGACTAGTGTTTTGGCTAAACATATAAAAACTCACACAGGTGAAAAACCACATGCATGTAAAGTTTGTGGTAAATGTTTCTCTCAGAAAGGTAACTTGACTAAACACATGAAAACTCAACACGGGTGAGAAGTCTTTTCCGTGTTTGATCTGTAGAGAGAGCCACTCAACCAAACATTTTTTTTACTTCTCATGTAAAAGTTCACACTTGATATTTTATTCTTCAATATTTTTGTTTAGTGTTTTTCCCTCACATAATTAACCTGACACAAAAAAATGAGAACTCATGCAGTTAAGGCGAAACTAGAAAACTGGTTTTGGATGAAGCCATGCTATTGGCTGAGGTTTTTAGACAAATGCAAGAGAACAACCGTTTTGTTTATTTTCTTTTTAATATCCACAACATATTTGTAGCTACATTATGTTAGAACATTGTAGAAAAAAAAAGAAAAAAAAAAGCTTGGAAAAAGGTTTAAAGCTAACTTGTTTTACAGATTTGCCATTGTTTAAGAGTACACTTGCCTAGTTTGACACAAACAATATTTTCGGGATAAGCACTGGCAAAATAAAGAAACAGCCTCAAAGACATATGTAACAACTGTGGACTCCCAGTTTTTCATTTGGACAGTAACTTGAAAGGCAGTTTTTGTAATCTTCCAAAACATTAACATCTTGAATCTGAGGGTCCCTGGTACCAGGTACGCTAGCACTTCCAGCAACAAAGTCGTTCCACATATATGCTTAATAATTACTAATAATTATGAATTGCGAACTGCACATGTACATAATGAGAAGAAGCTTGTTTAAATAATGATGGATGTTTTCTACCTCAAAAAACACTAAATTCCAACAATATGTCATTAAGTATTAATTTAATATAAATATTAATTAATGAATTTAAATTAGAGCAACAGTGTTATTGGTATTGTTTAAATAATAGAGAATAGGTCTTTGGTATTGTTTTTTTTTTTTTTTTTTTTTTTGCATTTTTAACACACCTGTTTCCTCCTGTTCAAATGTTATTTATTTATGATGATTGTTATAGTATTATAGATTTGTTCAAAAATTCTGTTTTACATTTCATTGTTAATAAATTAGCTCCATTAGGAGTCAAATAAGTTCCTCTGTCTGATTTTACCCTTATTTTGAATAGATAAACATACACTCACCTAAAGGATTATTAGGAACACATCCCCTTCCGCAGATAGAGGCGAGTTCGACAAAGCAAAGCTGACAAGGACAATGGACCAAGAAAACATTGAGACAAAGACAGGGTTATGTACACAGGGGCAGGATGATTGGGAGATGAGCTGCAGGTGTGTGGGGAGAGAGAAACCTGGTGAAATCAATCTACTAATCAGGGAGAGGAAACTAAGCTGAGGAGAGGGAAATAAAACATGACCTATGAATAACAACCAAACCTAAAGACTAGAAAAACAAGACAACTAATGATCTAAGGAGGAAAGGAGAACTAATAAACTGGTGGGGAAGGACCAAGGAAGGAACCTGAACCAATGAAAACTACAGGGAAAAACTAGCTATATAATTACAAAGAAAACTAAAGAATAAGTGAACCTGGGAAACCTGGTGGGAGCTGGAGACAAGAAGGGGCACGGGAAGCTTAGGTACACATGAGGGGGGATCCTAGAGGGACACCTGGAGGGGTTGGAGACCTCAAGGGGCACAGAAACCTAAGGGGAGAACCTGGAGTGGGCTGGGGAACACAAGGAGGCACATGAGGAACACAAGGAGACACATAAGGGGAACCTAGAGGGGGGGGGGCTGGAGAACACATGAGGGGGACGCAGACCATGACACCCTGACAGGATGGTCGAGCCAATGACAAGAGTGGGTGTAGCACACAGGCTTACTACTGGTTGGTTAGGGAGTTGACGAGGCCAGCATGCCTCTTCCTCACTCCTTCACCACTGTTCATTATCACCATCAAGCACTCTGACACACACATAATTAATTTCATGTTTCTGTTGGACATTCACGTTGCATCGACAGCTCGTCTACTCAAGAACCACATGGACATTTGAGCGTGATTCAGGTGTTTTTTGATGATGATGATGGTGATAGCTTGTCCCGAACTTATACAAGTCTATGAACTCTGATAACACTATGTAGTGAATCTTACTTGTGTGGACTGCTGCTGCAGTGTAATTTTTCTACTCTTGTTCTTTTAATACATGCTACTGTAACAGACGTAATGATGGAGTGTCCCTTTAAGACCATCTTTGTCACAGAGTAACAATGATGTAAGAAAACAGTGACATCTCCTTTTTGTTTTTAGTGGACCGGACTTGCATGCACACAGGTGGATATTATTTTGGTCTGAATATTTTTCTCCACTGTTACAGCCTGTCTAGGAGGGGCCAGGCCACAACATGAAGGTGGATTCCCATTTTCCACAGATCCCAAGTACCACACCACAGTTCGACTTGTATACAAGGATTTTTATTTACAAGTTTTAAAATAACTGAAAGCGAGGGAGCATAACTATAACTCAGGGTGAACCAAAGGCCAAAACAACAAACAAAACACCCCTAACTTAAATAATCATCTTACCTACAAAATTAAATAGAAAAAGAAATACAACCAAACTTACCTCCCTGAATACAAAAACAAGGGAAAACTGAATGAACAAATAAAATGGCAGGTTCACCCCTACTTTCCTCAGGTTAACGACAGGTCTTAACACAGCTGGATGGTGGCAGGTTGGGATGAGCAGAGAATGAGGATCAGCTGCAGGTGGTGTTGACATCCCTCTTAAAGGTCTGCTCCCATCAATTATCCAATCAGGACTCTTTCCAGGCCACTGGTTCACCAATCAGATGTGGGCACCTGCACTAAGAAACATTACGAATACAAAACAACTTACAACCTTTGGTTGTAACATCCACCTCAACTGAAGTGGTGTTATGGATTCTCTGTTATGTTTTAGGCATATTAAGACAGCAGCCGTCTAACCAGGCTTTGTAAGGTTGAGGAATTTCTAAGAAAGTATCATCACTGTGAATTTCAGAGTACCAATATTGGTGTTTATTATTAGTGGTTTGCTGCGTCATCATAAAATATAACATTACAGAACCTGTGGGAAATGTGTTCATGTGTGTACTGATTGGTGACCATCAGCTCCAGCAGCTGTATTTTGACTTGAAATCATTCACCTGTGTTACATCTACCCAGGAGGCAAAAATTGGAAATGTAAGCTGTTCTAGGACATTCCTGCATTTCTCAATGCTTGAGCCAATAGATAAAAAGTACATCCTGGAATGTGATTGTTTCTTTTCCTCTCATTCAGCAAGACTGTTGGCAGCTCAGGCTAACAATTGTGGAATTCATTCCGCCGTTTGGTAGTACTTTTGTGGTAATGGTCTGTCTTAAAAACGGGTATTGCACCATAGGCACAACAGAGGTGTCATGAGAACGTATATGATGTCCATTATTCAGCAAGTTCATTAATTTGTAGTATTCTATTTTTATACACACTCAACCACTCTACATTCATCTCCCGCCTCGACTACTGCAATGCCCTTCTAACTGGTCTTCCAGCCTGTACTGTTTTTTATATTTTTACATTTTTTGTTTTTGTGAAGTGCCTTGTGATTTTTATCTTGAGAGGCGCTATAGAAAAGCTCTTTTCTTCTTCTTCTACTTCTTCTACTGTGAGGCTTCTTCAAATATGAGATTTCCATGTCAGTTTTTCATCTATTACTACTCTCAAAAATCTAAGAAACTTTCAATATTTACCACATCGATATACAAATGAACTTTTATATCTCTTTTCCTTTTCGTGAAACCCATAAACGTAGTTTTCTTTTTTTTATTATCTTTATTTCATTTAATAAAAAAATAACACAACAGATACTAAACAATGTTCATAAAAACACAATATATATTTGAATGAAAGGGAGCAGATAGAAAATTTAAATTTATTGATAATCTGTTTGTATCAAACCATGTTTTAACTTCAGCTATTTAATTCGTTATACTTTCTGATGAAGCTTTTAAATCATCTCCCAAAATGAAAACTTCTATATCATCAGCAAATTAAAAAAAACTGTAATAACTTTGACACATTCACAATATATTTAATATACAAACCAAAATGTTTTGGTCCCAACACAGACCCTTGTTGTGGGACTCCACATTCAGTCTTCATACAATCAGATATCTTACCAGCAAACTGTACATAATGTCTGTTATTAATAGCTACGTAACCACTTTGATAGTATTGTGCGTGTAATTTTAAAATTAAAATAGAATGATCTGGAGAAAATCAATATTACTTATTACTAACTAGACAATGTTCAGATGATTCATCAGTATCAAACAGCTAAACTTTGACTTCTGGACTTCTAGATGATTTTAGTTTTTCTCCATTCAGATGAAAGCAGCATAAAAGCTTGTGATAATTTCTTTTCATTTCTAGCAAACTAAGAAAATCAGTTTCCTCTTGTTCCTCAAAAACCTTCAACTGTGTGATTCCAGTAAAATCTACTCTGTCGATCATTTCTAGATCTTCAACTGTGTCTCTTTCCACTATTAATAGTCTCATTCTGTCACCTTTTGAACTGAAGCTGTGGTCCTCACCTGCATCTCTTTCTTAGTGTTGCTGTTCATGCTGTTCCAACTCCAGCCCAGCAGGTGGCGGTAATGTCATTTTACGCTGGTCACCAGCCGGCACATTATCCGGAAGTTGCTAGCAGCGTTAGCTTGTTGCTGGTTAGCAGCGTTAGCTTGTTGTGTGGGTGTGTGAGGTGAACCTCTGAGGCTCTGCAGCAACAATGTCTTCAGCTCAGTCTCTGAGAGAGTTTATCAGAGAGCGGCTAACTGCTGCTGCTGCAGAAATATTCTCCGAGTTTGAACAAACCATCGTCCGCTACGAGGAAGAGATCGATCGTCAGCGCAGACTGCTGGAGATCAGCTGGAAACCACAGATCAACTTACACAGAATAGGTATGAAACAGCAGCGGGACTCGTGAGGTTTTACTGAGGACACAATCTCAGGACAGTCTGCTTGGGTCCGTCTGCTGTTCTGAAGCTTTTTGACACAACTGAGCTGAAATCAGTCGGTAAACTTTGTTCCATTTTAGAGAAATAAATCAATAACATTTCAGGGGTTTTAGGAAGTTTTTTTCATTTTCAGGAACTCCACTAAATCCGTTTAAAAGAGACAAACTTTAAAGACTTGGTGAACGTTTCCAGCTGATGTTCTACAATCAGAGACTTGTTTAGAAGTTTCTGTTAGTCTGATCTGTTTGTGGACATTACCAAGTAAAGCTGTCAGCAGCTTCAAAGTGGAGATGATTCCATGAAAACATCTCAGTCCCGTTTTCATCAGAGACTGATGCATCTGAGGAACATCTGGATGTTTATGTGTCTATAAACTCACCTGTAGTACCTGTGTGTCCATCCCAGAAGTCAGTAAGAATCTAAATCAATGAATCTGAGAGATACTGAGTCCAGTTCTGCTGTGGGTCAGTCACACACACACACACACACACACACACACACACACACACACACACCTGCTGTTCTCATGTCTGACTGTAGAACTGTGTGTGGTTGTTTGTCAGGTTAAGAGTTCATTATGTTCTAAAACATCTTCAGATGCATCAGATGATTAAAGTGAAGTGTGCTCTCTTATTGTCACATGATTCATCTTTTTGTTTGGTCTGTTTGTCTGTCCAGAACTCCCGCTGCATGATGTCAGCAAAGATGAGGAGGTTCAGACTGACCAGCAGCTCTGGAACCAGGAGAGGACCTCCAGTTTGGACCAGGAACAACCAGAACCTTTACAGGAGGGACCAGAACCTCCACAGATGAAAGTGGAGCAGGATGAGTCAGAACCTTTGCAGGTTCTAGAACAAGAGGAGCTCTGCATGAGTCAGGATGAAGAGCAGCTTGTACTGAAGCAGGAGACGGTGACCTCCCTTGTG